ACTTTTTGTGTTTTATTTTTAAAATTTCTATTTTTAAATAATTTTTATAAATTTTTCGAGAAAGAAATTTGGATTATAACTCATAAAATTTTTACCATCATCTTAAAGTAGGTGTAGTTCTAAGCATACCTGCAAAAAATTAGTTTTTACATTCAAAATTCTGTAAGATATACACAAATTTACATATTTTCGTGTATTGAAATTTAGCATCTTTTTTTTAGCTATAACAACACCAAATGTGGTTTGTGGATTTTTGTTGCAGTGAATTGCTGCAGCTATTTATAACCTTAAATTTCAAATAAATTTTTATGTAGAATTAATTATATGAAATTTTTTCTCTCAGTGATGCAAAATAAATATTTATTAATACTATATGAAAAGCTATTTTTTTAATTATAGATGATATTATTCAAATTTTTTACTTTTTTTAAATTTCATTCTCTCTTAATTTTTTTAAAAAATATTTGTAAGACTAAATTTTTATCTTCGCCGTGTTATCGTTTGTTACTTTACTTTGCATTTAAATTGAATTGTCTAAAACTGAGAAAGTTCGTTTGAAGTTTATTTTCACAATGTTTTTTAAGCAAACAGGATGTTTGAAAGTTTGAGTCATGTCCCAGCTTTAAAAAAATATATATAAATATAAATTTTTACATAAATCCTCTTAAAAAAATGTTTTAAGTAGTAATTTTCTCTCGTGTTATAGAATATATAAAAACATGTTCTTTAATATAGAAATTACTAGACTTAAAAACTCTAAATAATATGATTTAGATTGTTTGCACCCGATATAAAAAATCGGGCCACTCAGTGGTACAGGATAAGCGCTGCTGGAGTGGTTTATTTCTTTCTCATTTGAAAAAATCTTTTAATTCAAATATTTATCCTTTGGACTTTGCTTTAAAACTTTATTTATAGTTAAAATTCTAGAAAATGAAAAGGTATCTTCAGCTGAAATGCATTTGATGCAATGAATATTTTAAAAAAATTGACAAGAATGTAAAATTTATGGAAGTGTAACAATCGAAAAATCTTAATTTTCTTGTGGTGAGCACTGAAAATAAATGTAGGGAGAAAAGGAAGCAAAAATTTAAAAAGGATTTTGGCTGTCAGAAATACCAAGGTGTTTCAAAAAGTTGGATGAATATACTTTCATAATATTTCAAGGAATTTGGGTGTTCAAAGAGAAAACACTTGGACGTGTACACTAGCATATACCATTAATTGAGTTTGTGCTAACGGAAAAGACAAAAACAATATCATTGCAGTTTAAAGTGAAGAGTGACTGGTTTTCAACTATATGTTTGTATAAATTTAAATTACGTTATAGATAATCACAAATGGAGAATCCCATGATTTCTTAGTTTCTTAGTTTTCACTTTTGATGAAACCAGTCTTTCCTTTCATCTCATGCCTTAAAATGCTTAGCTACTAAAGACTGATAAAGTCTCAGACCAAGTACTGATGAAATGGATTATTAAGTTACGGCAAAGCAGGGCTGTCTGTCCTAAAAGGCCTTCGTGAAGAACTTTCTAAGGAAAACCAGCTGGTATACACGTTACAATGAGAAAAACCATGAAAACGCCCATGCAACCAGCCTGTTTTTTAACCCTAGAGCAAACTACCAGTGTTGAGCAACTTTACCGCTCGGCCGTTGCTGGCTTTATGGAGTGGAAGGCGATAAATTTATTTAAAATGAATGTCAGAAATACCAATATGTTTCGAAAAGTTCGGATGCTTTTTAATATACTTGGAGAATGTCTGAAGAAAAAGAGCAAGCCATTAAGAAGAAAAAATTAATTTTTGTATGAAATTTAGTGTTTTTTTTTTTTTTTTTTTTTTTTTTTTTTTTTTTAAGACTTTTTAATCTTATGATATTTGATTCTTGCAATTTCAAAAATAAAATATTTGACTAAAATATGAATAACATTTTAAGAAACTAAATGTAGGATGATAAAATTGTGTAAAGCAATGAGCATAATGTTAAAGCTATTTAAAGCAATATATACAAGTCATCCTAAGTTAAAATGTTGGTTATACATTTTTCTCATTTATATATATTTTCTGAACGGAACATTGAAAGGCGTGTTAACTGTGCTTTACTGTATTTTCTCTTTTAGTATATTCAGTTTTCATATGCATCGTAGTCTGGGACACAAAGTATTCTTCCAAAAGAAACGCAATTCAAATATATAAAATAAAATCCTGGAAAATTTATATTAATAAATATATTTAAAATGCTCAGTTCGAATTAAAAAATAGTAAGTTTAAAGAGACAGTGCAACACAAACAATTAAAATAAAAGTCTAAAAATTACCTAAAATAATATCTGTGACCAAAAAAAATATTATAAAGAAAACTATTTGAAAAAAAAATAAATGATGCACCTTATATTTAAACTACGTGGTTTGAATGGGTAAATAGAAATTTTTAAAACAGTTATTCCAAAGAAACCATGCAACTTAAACAATTAAAATGAAATTCGAAAAAGAAAAAAAAATATTTAAAATAATAACATAAAAATATAATATAAAGAACATTATTTGAAAGAAAGAACATTATGATATTTTTTCCTCTTACGGAAAATAGGTCGCCATATATTAAGAAGTTCGCCAAGTGAACTCTTCTTGGCGCAAACTGAAAAAAAGTGGAAACATAAATTTGTGAATTTCTCCGTAAATTTTGCACTAAATTTTACAAAATTTCATATTTGCTCATAATTTGAGTCGTAAAATTGAAACATGTAAAAAAATTGGCATGTTATTTCAGAAAAAGTCCAATTTTTTGTCAAAAAAGCTATGTTATAATTGTGCTATATATAAATCTAATATTTATCCTAAGTCGTGCTTTCGAGACATGAAGAATGCTAGTTGAATTTCATCAGTCGGCCCAGTGGAACGGGAGATATAGAACTGTCTCCCACTTTTTTTGCGCACTGTGCAGTTATTATATAAATTACCCAGTTGTTTATGATTTCATCTTTTACTGTAATTTCCTGTTTCTATTTCTTCATATGATAAAGTTACTGAGCCAGCTTAAATTAAAATTAAATTGTATAATCTTTGACCACTAAAAGTTTGAATCTGACTGTTCTTGTTTAATAACGTCACCATGAGCTGTAATTGATTTTGTTAACATCAGAACATGTCTTTATGTTCTAAGTTCTTTTTAAATAAGAGGATTATTTAAACCTTTGTCTGATATTATAGTTACTTACAGACATAGCAATAATTTGCTTCACATCTGTCGGGGGGGTTGGAACTGTTTAACTTTTACTAGATCAAGTAAACCCTCATAGGTATATTGTGGAGAGGTTGACAAGTTAGCTGATAAAGCATGCAAAAACTAGTCAGAACATTGGTTTGTGTATTGAGACAAATTTCTGATTGTTAGAAAAGATGCTAAAGAGAAGGAAATCAATAAAAATTAGCCAAAATGTCTGGGAAGGCTTCAAATTAAAGTGACGCATAAATATTTTGTTGAGTGTTGTTGTTACAAGATATAAATGTTTTGTAGCTTTTAATGTGTAATTATCCTAATATTGCATAAGAATCAATGTCATAATTTACATACATATATTTTAAACTGTGAAATATTGTTAAATTTTTATTTTAATATGGCTTTTTTAACAAATATTGTTAAAAAAAGAAATAAAATGTAATAATGATCATGTAAATACATAATGACAAAGGTTATCTAACTACCTAATTTAATTATTTAGAACCATATGCTTACCTTTAAAAATTATCTCTGCATATTAAAGTGAGTTATTGCCTTTCATTAATCCTCACCGTGGTCACAAATTAAACACAGAAAATTCAAGTAAAACTTATTCTTTGCATCTAGTGAGGCTTAAAATAATACAATATAACTTATCACCTTTGTTGCTTTATGGCTTATTGGAACCTTAAAGTATATTAAATGGGTTACAACCCCTGGAACTCTACACGAAGCTATGACACTAACTGCATCAAACAAAGCCCAACTAACTTTCAAAACTTGCCAATTGTGCCTACAACAGGCCTTTCAGGTTTGTTCTAATCAGCAGGTCTCTCTCTAGACAAGCAGCAGCGGTAACAACATTCAGTCTTTTGTTATGAATCATGCTGATTATGATCTTACTTCTCATTTTAACCTATGATGCTTGACATAAAATCTTTATGACTTGCTATTTACTAAACCTCTAGACTGAACAAGTATGTGATAAAATGAGACATTAAAAAAAAATCAACTTAAAGTTAACTGTTAGTAAAACGTAAATGTCACTTATCTTCTTTCAAATATGTCCAACTATTATAAGTGCAAATTGATAAATTGCATAAAGTTTATTTTATTCTCAAACTTTAATTAATTTCAAACTTTCAATGTTAATTAATTCATGTTTAATAATGGTGTGTCATGTTTAATAATAATGTGATTTTAGTATTTTTAGAATGGTATTACAAAAGTGAAATTCAGGCATAGATAATATTTTTAATTGAATTTATTCAGTTCTCATTTACTCACAGGTCCTTAATTTTTTTCATTAATGGTCCTTAAAAGTCCTTAATTTCCATGTGCAAAAATGTGTATGAACCCTGACCTAACACCAATATAAAGTTAGATGTATTTCAGTTAACTATACTTTAAAAATATAAGTTTACTGGTAGGAACTTATACTGAAAGTAATTGTATTCAAAAAGGTCATGAATATAGGAGTCTGCAGGATATTCTAACTCATAAAAGAGGTCACCATTTAAAAAAAAAAAGGTTTGAAAAATACTTCTGTAATAAAAACCAGAAACTGTCAATAATTTGTTGGCACTTTAAAAGAGCAAAAGAAGAGACGAAAACTAAACTAAAATCTTTTAATGAGCTTTATAGTTTTGAAATTATGGCTAAAATTTGTAATAATCAAATCTAAATAAATTTGATTTTGTGCTATTATTTTTTTTAGTAAATAAAATGTAAAAAGACTTTTAATGAATAACAACTATAACTGATATTATTCCTGACTTTAGAAATTAGAACAACACAGCAAGGACAAGTGTATTTTTATCATGTTTCTACTGGAGTCAGTACATGGCATGATCCAAGAGTTCCTAGAGATTTAGCGGGCATCAATGTAGGTGATTTAGGCCCACTTCCAAATGGCTGGGAGATGAGGCACACTGCCAATGGACGTGTTTATTATGTTGACCATAACAATCGAACTACCCAGTTTACTGATCCCCGGTTGTCCAGTAGTTTAGCCGTACAAAATATGCTCAAGTAAGTATATGATCATAAATATAATTTAGTGTGTTAAAGCTCATTTTAGAATTATTTGCTGACTTTAAGTGTATAGTTGAGATGTTTTTTCCATAAATTCCTTTCCATAAAGCTATTACAAAAAACTTGTGGGGATTTTAGTAGCACTTCTGTATAGTATTACATGAGTATACACTTGTGAACAAAATTAAAAGAACTTGCACATTATATTGAATTTCTGAAAAACTAATGGATGGATTTTAACAAAATTTGGTATGGTACATTTACAACAGAGAAAGAGATGTGCCATTCAGAAGTCATTTTATGGGCATAGGATAATCAGTAAAACTCATAGTGCTGGGATGTGCAAAATCCACATTGTGATATTAACCTGAAAATTAGTCTAATATGGAGGATGATCCCTCTTACAGCCAAATAAGTTACTTGGCATGAGAGCATACTGGACAGGAGGCTGTCTAACCCATTCCTATAGCAAGGCAGTCTTCAAATCTGAGATCGTTCACGGAGAGAGATGGCAAGATGAATTCACCCTTTCATGAGTGTCTGCAGACATGCTATATAGGATTAAGATCAGGGTATCTGGCTGACCAACTCATGCAGAGAATATCCTCACTTCCCAGGTATTCCTTCACCAGCTGAGCCCATGTGGATGAGCATTGTTATCTGTTAACGCCAACCAAAAATGAACTGTACCTCTATAAAGTTGAACATAGGAGCAAAGATCTCCTTTCTGCAGCAGTCAGAGAACCTTTGTCAAACATATGCAGGAGTGTATGACCATCCAGCAGAATGCCTGTCCCAACCGTTATACCTCCACCACCATAATGGTCCTTTTCCATGATGAGAGAGGGGTGGTATTGTGTTCCAGGCTTCTTTCAGGTATAGGTCCACCAAGAATCAGAGTCCAGGCTAAATCTCAACTCATCTGTAATAAGCACGATGCTCCACTAAAGTCTGGTCCAAGGTGCATGTTGTCTGCACGGTGCTAAACACATTTTCTTGTGTGCTGCTGTGAGCGGGACACAAACAGTAGGTTTTCTGGCATACAACCCTATCTCATGAAGCCTTCAGGCAACTGTAGACCACGAAACTTGGACTCCAGTGGCACCATATAGCTCACATGAGAGCTGTGAAGCTGTAGCAGTCAAGTAGCACTGCATTGAAAATACCAAATAATGGTCCTCATTCGTCATTGTGGATCTTGGTTGACGTTGTCCATGTCTTTTTTATATGGATCCAGTGTCCTGAAATTGTTCCCGCAAATTGCAGAAGACACACACACACTACATTGAGCTTTGTAGCCCACCTGTGCTTGTGATTGGCTTGCCTCCAATCTGCCAACAATTCTCCATCTCATTCTATCATCCATATGTTTGTAGCTACTGATTTTGTGTAAAACCTACTCTTGTGAGAAACGTGATGAATGTTGTGAAGAAGAATGAGCACACAAATCAACAAAAACCCATCATGTGTTTATATCCTATCCACAGTCACAGCTCTGCAGACATGCACATGTACAACTCTGAATATTTGTATAGTTTTTCGTTGGCATAATTAGTGACTTTGAATTAATACTTTTTGTAAAAATAGACATAATTTGAAAATTCTCTTAATTTTATGCGTGAGTGTATGTTACTTTGATTATTCAAGTTGTAAAGCATAAGTATTAAAATTATATCTATGCAATAATGCTGCTGAGGTAAATTTTAATAGAAACAGCTTTGCCTCTTAGCATGTGTGAAAAGTTTAAGGGTTTTTGCAGTGTATAAGGTTAGCACTGTTCGCTATAAAAAAGATATTAGTTAGATGTAGTATCAAAAACAAAAATTTGATTTATTATTCCATTCAGAAAGTAGTGCAAAATAGGTAAGAAAGTTGTTTTTAGTAATTGCATGTTGCAGCATAGGAACTGTGCTTTTGTCATTAATTATTCTATTTTATCTATACTTACAAAAGGAAAAATAATTCATTTTATATCTTTGCATATGAGATCATCATCTTTTCTTGTGCCCTTTTGCTATCTAATGCTATTTCCATAACATATCCACAATTTAAAAGTTTTAAAAGCTAACTTTTTTTCATCATTAAAAAAAATACTAGTTTTTAAAAACTGTTTTGGGTACTGAAGAGCATTAGGGGTGTCATGTAAACTAAATTCATTTTACATTTTTTAGAATTTTGTTTTATTAGAATATTTAGCCATTTTTGCATGATTTTTAGATGCAGTAAAATTCTTAAGTATGTTGTTAACTCATATTTGAAAAAATTAGTTCAACATTGAATTGTTTTAATGAAAAACCTTTATGTCTGAAAAAATTTTGCTTTTTATCAATTATCCTTTTTTTCATATTTGTTTTTATATTATTGATTTTACTGCACATAGTACAAGGAGAAACAGCAGTATTGAAGACAATACAAACATTCTAAATGGCAGAGTTCCTGATTCATCTCAAGCTGTTTCATCAGTCAATCACACACCTAGTGCCATTACTCCCAGCAATTCCGCTCCACCTTTGCCTCCACTGCCACCTACAATCAACCCTGCAGTCCCTCTTGAAATATCAGACACACCATATTCAAAACAAAGGCGAGATCTGGTCCAAAAACTGGCAGCTTTGCGGCAAGAACTACATGCATTACAGCCTCAATCAGGTCATTGCAGACTTGAAGTATCAAGGGAAGATATATTTGAGGTTTGTTATCTTTTTGTACTTTATGCTGTCATATAGGAAACTTTTTATACAGTTTGTGAGAAAATAGGCTATTTGTATGCTGAGAATTATCATATAAAAGAACTGAAATCAATGAAAATTATGTTAATATAAAGCTGTGAATGATTTAGAGTAACAGATATTAAGCTGTGGATTTTTGCGCTTCTTTCATGCTTCGATATTAATTAAACTTGCAAGTATCTAAGACCACTGAATACTGGTACTTCATTTGGCCTTCAACTTGCAGGAAATTAATGAACTTTTTGCATAGTGTTTTCATTATTTTTTTCAGTTTCATTATTCATGAGTTTAAATGAAGTTTACCTTTCCAAAAGTCATCTACAAAAGTAGTAACTCTGATGTCTTTTGCTGTCATAACTCATATTTCATTACTATGCATTGAAATAATTTAAAGTAAATAATCACAGAAAAAACTGCAAATATTATCAGCTTCAAGAATATATCTGTGTAAATATGGATTTATTCATATTACACACAAGGCCCATACTCATATTACAGATTGACAAAAATGTGCTGCATCTCATAGCATTTTTAATTTCTCAAAATGACTTGCAACCTAATGCAGTCATCAAGAAGATATACACAAACAACCAAGCTTTACATGAGATTGAAACCCTGATTTTGGAATTCATATTAGCAGTTAGCCTTCTCTAATCATTAGATTATTCGGGCAAAAAAGTCTGAATTAACGAAATCTAGTTTTCTTTTGAAATATACATATACCTGGCTCTTTTTACACTAAATCCTTTTCCTAAAATTAAAAAGTTGAACATCAAAATTACAAATAAACCAATGCACATTTTCGAAAAAGGAAATTTTCAGGCTGTTTAAGAAATGAAAACAAGTTATAGAACGAAATGCTACCTATGTGATTCAATGAAATGTTCTTATGTTTTTATCATGCTTCATTTGTATTTATCATTAAAAAAAAAAAAAAAAACTACAGAACTTTCCAGGTGACCAATAGTTAAAAATATGTCTTTGAATAATAAGCACTGATTAGCTGAAAGGTATTGTATTCACTTCAAATAATCTTTGCATGAAAATGATACTAAGACGTGTAGAAATAAGAAAATATATTGAATTTTAAAATTTAGTCATTAATAATAAATTTTGTTACTTTAGCCACTGACCATCAGTTGGCCATTAAGCTATTATGGGTGATTAAAAAATATGACTCATTCACTTTCTTATGTCTATACAATTACTTGTAAGTCTCAAAACATTGCAGTAAAATATCAAACATCTATCTATCTCTTGGTAAAACATGTTGCTTAAGTAAATATCTTAATTCAAAAATGGAAATTTATACTTTGATAATAGTTTCCAACAAATAAGCATTTGTTGTAATTAACCATTTTATTCTTATATTAATAAGATTTCTTACTAAATTTTTGATTTCGTGATATGCGAGTACATTCTCATTCAGAACTTCTACTAAATTTATATCAGGAGATATTATAATCAATATTTCTTTAGTAAATAAATTATTATTATCTTACTTTGCAGCTATTGTGCAAGTATTAGAAAAACTTGTTTTCGAACTAAGTAAATTTTAGATCATTCAACATATACCGTATTTACGCGAATCTAATGCGCATCGTTTTTGGCCAAATGAAGTATTCAAAATTGGGGTGCGCATTAGATTCGAGTGCAAAGTTCGCCGATGACATCAACCAAATTTAAATTGTAACAATGGATTACTGTATTTCTCGACTACATTTACCGTTACATTTATCGTTGACACATTATTGCATACAGGATACAAACTGCAGAGTACGTAGTCACGAAATGGAGGGCAAACAGAGAAGAATGTCATATGACGCTACTTTCAAACGTAAAGTAATTCTTTATGCTGAAAAAAATTGCAATAGAAAGGTAGGGAGAGAGTTCAACGTAGCTGAGAGCAATGTTCGCTTGTGGCGGCAACAGAAATTGGCACTGTTTGCAACTAAAGATTCAATAAATTCCTCATACTATTGATGCACATTACATTCGCCGACAAACAATTTTTTTATTATTTAAAGTTTTAAAATGGGGATGCGCATTAGATTCGATGGCGCATTAGATTCGCATAAATACGGTATATATATATGTATATTTATATTGTCTCTTTTAAAAATTTTGTTAGCATTGTACATCAATATTTTGATTTCACAATGTTTAATTATTTAGCTTTATTTCCATACAAAAGATAATGGATGTCTCAATCAATAAGAAAATTAACTTTAATATATTTCTTTTTGAAGGAATCTTATAGATTAATAATGAAAATGAGGCCAAAAGATCTGAGAAAGAGACTTATGGTAAAATTCAGATCAGAAGAAGGCCTAGATTATGGTGGAGTAGCAAGGTGAGTATTTTTTAATTTTGTGAATTTTTTTCACTTTCCTTTTTCTTTTATAAAAATATACAATTGTAAATGAAATTCTGTCTTTTAGGGAATGGCTATATTTATTGTCTCATGAAATGCTCAATCCCTATTATGGTTTATTTCAATATACAAGAGATGATATCTATACGCTGCAAATTAATCATGATTCTTCAGTCAATCCGGTATGTAAATGAAATTCTTTTTGCTCTTTATTAAGCAGCTGTAAAAGTTCGAATATCATCAAGAATTTAAATGGAGATAGTATCTCAAAATACATATATATGTCATAATAAAAGCAAAGGAAAGGAAATGACGGAACACTGTAGATGCGTGATTAGACCCATATTGAAGAAGAATTTTGATTGCGTAGTATGCTAGTAATGCTAACTTGGTAATATCTAAAGAACTTGGCAGTCGAAGCAGTTTTAATTCCATTTTTATTTCCAATTGATATTTGTGGCCACAATCACTTGGCACTCTAGTCGTGCCTTTCCACAGAAGATTTACATTTTTGATATTTTTGAGATAGAAAGCAAACCAGCAAAATTACATCTTAGCACAGCACAGAGCAAAAGCTGAAGTGCGTAGTTATGAAAGATGGAAGCACGCGAAGAGAAAAGTTTTGGTTTACAGTGGCAGTTTCAGTTCTTAATTATTACGTCGTCAGAGTTGCGCGGGCCATAGAATGATCTAAAAATGACGCTATGCAGAGAAGTTATTACGATTTTAGAATAGAGAGGAAGAATTCATGTTTATAGTTATATTATAATTCTGATTCATACATTTTTTATCTTACATATTTCCCCCCTTCAAAAAGAAAAAGGCGTACCAACAGAGAAGCCTTTTTAAAGAGAAAGAGTTAAAGCGCTAGCATATAAAAAAGAAAAACATAAATCATAAAATTGATTCTATAAAAGTATAATTTATAAATATCAATTTTTTAAAAATAAATTTTTTAATTTTTAAAGTCCTATTGAATTTTTCAGCATTTCAGTCCAAAAGTCTTTTTGTTTGACAGTTCACATAATCATAATTCATCAGGGAAGTTTCTTGTTATTACAGAATATCACAAAAACTTTTACATAATCATTTCTTATAATTAAATGTAATGCACATAAATATTTATGATACTTATTTCCATACTGATAAATTATAATTTAACATCATAAATAATAGGATTAAGATCTTCAGAATTTATGGTTTCACCGTTATCATCTTTCATTTACAATTCCTGATTTTACCAAACTGGAAGCCTCGCAATACTTCTAAACAAACATATCCATCAATAGGGCTGTCCTCTTGAGCTAACCAGCGTGTTCTCTGCACTGGTGGCCCAGGGTGCCTAGGCAGTTACTTGAAAAGGCCTCCGTTCCTTGCATTAAGGTAACTGGCCTTTGAGAACTGCACTAATACATTCCATAATAAAAAAAATATAATAATAATAATAATATAAAAAATTTACATGCATTCATAAAATGAGAGCCTCCAACATTATCTTGCATGAAGAGGGTAAAAGGAAAAACTGGTACAGAGGTAATTACAGGCCTCTGTTGAAGGAACCAGTACACCCTCATCATACTATACTTAACACACAATAACCCAGAAATTTTAACATGCATTTACCATAATTTCATATTACTTATCTGTACTAATTTCACTTATTTTTAACATCTTTATTTTTAGAATAATTATAAAATTCGTATTCAAAATTCTCAACAAAATTTCAAAAACAAAAACTTATGTTAATATCCTTCCCTATGAATAATTTAAATAGCTTAAATTTCGTTACTTAATTTGCTCACACATAATTATGAAAAATTAGAAAAATTAATGAACAAGAATTTCAGATTTTCTCAAAACAAATTGCAGAAATTTTAACCAAAGTTGAAATGAAAACTATAGAATCCGATGCACATTAAATAATTTAGTTCCTGAGCTAGATTCACACTAATGTAATAATTTTTGAGCTGTTGAAAAAGCGGAAGTGCAAATAATTTTCTGTCGCACATACTTGCAAACACCAACTCAGATCGACCTTGAACTCGCTGTAATGCTGAATTCCTAAACGGTAATTCACTGATGATTTAAAGCACTTTTTTTTTTCTAAATATTGTAGAGATCGGCGAAGCAAATTCAATATTCCTTTTTACTATCATTCGAACTTCTCAATTTATCGAGATATTACTTTCAATCTGTAAACACTACGCGTGATTATTTATTGAAGCACTTGCAAAACACCACAGCAGAAGAATGATCTGTTATTTTTTAAGCACTGAAAAAACAAACTTGATGATTCACTTCTTTCACATTATCTTGGAGTTATCACAAAACAATGATTTGAAGAGCTGAATTAAATTTTCCATTGAGGTTTCAGGCTGCAGGAAACTATCCTTACCGGCTTAATTGTCATAATAAAAGCAAAGGAAAGGAAATGACGGAACACTGTAGATGTCGATGCTGAGTTTAGATCCATAATTGAAGAAGAATTTTGATTGCGTAGTATGCTAGTAATGCTAACTTGGTAATATCTAAAGAACTTGGCAGTCGAAGTAGTTTTAATTCCATTTTTATTTCCAATTGATATTTGTGGCCACAATCACTTGGCACTCTAGTCGTGCCTTTCCACAGAAGATTTACATTTTTGATATTTTTGAGATAGAAAGCAAACCAGCAAAATTACATCTTAGCACAGCACAGAGCAAAAGCTGAAGTGCATAGTTATGAAAGATGGAAGCACGCGAAGAGAAAAGTTTTGGTTTACAGTGGCAGTTTCAGTTCTTAATTATTACGTCATCAGAGTTGCGCGGGCCATAGAATGATCTAAAAATGACGCTATGCAGAGAAGTTATTACGATTTTAGAATAGAGAGGAAGAATTAATGTTTATAGTTATATTATAATTCTGATTCATGCATTTTTTATCTTACATCTATATGTATACTTTTATATCTTTTATAAAATTAATATTTATATATAATTTTATGTACTTATTTATATATATTAGTAAAAAAAGGAAAATATATATCTATATATATATATATATATATATATATATATATATATAATAATAATAATTTATTTACTAAAAAATATTGATTAATTGATACAAGGTAACCAAAAAAAGGTTTTTGCTGTTTTGGACAGTCAAAGAAAAAGGCATAAAACAAATAATACAGGGTTCGTAGCGGTCCTTACAAGTGCTTGTAAGTCCTTATATTTGAAAATAAAATATAAAGGCCCTTATAGGTGCTTACTTTTTTTAAAGTCCTTATTTTTTGTTTTTAGTGCTTATTTTTTGCTTTTAGTGCTTTTTTTAATCATTTCTTTTTTAATGAATGCGCATTTTTCCCCTGTACCAAAGCCGAAACTAAATAAACAACTTTTCTTCCTTATATGCAACATCAGATGGTGAATCGTACTCCCGGAAATTGCTTTTCCCCCCTTTCTCTGCATTAACGTAACCTATGGTGCGCGCGAGAGTACAGACAGGTGCACGTCGTTCTATTGGTTAAAGAATTGCAAAAACGGTAGAAAATTCTGGTACATTCGGTATTCTTTTCCTTCCACCCAAATACTACACAGGTTTGAATTTCTATCAAAAATTTAAAAATTTGCATTCTCGTTCCGCGTGGTCAGTTCATATCCGTGTTTATTATGATCGTTATGCTTATATTATGAGTATATGCATGAATATTTATAATAATATAGTTGCAGTAACTGCTGAAGTATAGATAAACTTCCAAAAATGGGTGTGTTTTTACACAGATTAGCTTTCTAAGGAATAATATTCGGAATGGCTTAAATAAAAGGAAAGTAATCGAATAGCTTTTTTTTTTTTTTTTTTTTTCCCCAATACATTATACAGTACGGAGGTTGGGAGGTTCTCCCCTTTCTCTGCAAAATCTCTAATATTAAAGCAGCAGACTTTTTTTTTTGTTGTTGTTGTTGTTGTTGTTTCTGTCCAATCTGGATTGAATAGGACTAAAATTTTTGCGGTCTACCCAACCCAAGCGAAGATTGATTCTATTCTGGAAATTTATTTAATGCAGTCTGTTGAAAATTAGAATCAGAAACACCCCAGATTAGTAAGTCTCTTTCTTTTCCTTTATTTAATTTTTTATTTTCCAAATACCGGCAGCTGTTGATTCCGATTGCGTAATATCACATGTGGAAGAATTATGCCGCACGTATTGCGCAATAACGTTTGCAGTATCTTGCAGAGATAATTAATTTTGATGTTCAGTCTGAGATTTGTTTAGGAACACTTAAAAGAAAAAGAGTTTTGCTGTGCTTTCTAAGCAGAATATTTCTCAGTTCCATTGGTCTATTTTTATATGATGCACATAGCGAAATGTCAAAATCATTTATTTAGCCGAGAAATCTAAAGAACGGCTACAATCTCCCCCACTCATCTTTTTCCAGTTACTATTCGGAATATTCGGCAATTTCCGAGTATACGGGTTAGTTAAGCTTTTACTGTTAAAGGATGACTGCATGAAGCAGTTTCACGTCTTCTGATTTCAGAAATGTGCCTCTTTTTTACTTAAATTACTTTGCTTGGAATATATGTTAAGGAAAAACTATTATGCAATGAAAATTTAGAAAATGTTCTGAACTTTGATTTAAGTTAAATTATTCAAATATTAATATGAGTGGGAAAATAAATTCTATTTACGAGTATTATTAGGTGCAAAACGAATATAATTAATATGGCTTATTATTATTTATTTTCTATATTTTGAACTGAAATTTCATCATTAAATCTTGTAATGTAGTTTAGTTCTGCATATTTTTTTTTCCCCTGTCATTGTAAACTCATTCTATAAATTGAACTGTCATTTAAAATTTAAAAAAAAAAAAAAAATCTACTATTCTGTTTTGAGGGCCGTAAAAAAAATTGCAGCGAAAATCTATGCGCAAAAGCGCCAAATCTAGCAAACGCGCCCATTTAAACAGCACGCCAAATCTAGCGTACGTGCTGATTTCAGATAGCGTAATTATATAGTTCTATATTTCTTAACATGCCATTGAAATACTAGTTTAATTTTTAAATCCTTTTCTCATTTAATTTTTTTAATATAGATCTATGGATTTAACAATTTAGAAATTGCCCATTATGAAAAGTCGGCAATAGAATTTTGGATAAAGTGCAGAACCACCCACTGCTTGACGCGTTTTTAAAA